TTTATTTATTTAGCAAAATCATTGGACAGTTGTGACGGAAGTGAAGTTTCTAATAGCAGTATTTATATTGACTTTGGAAAGATACAATTCCAATGCAGCTGTTCAATTTCACATTACTTCAGTGGACGATCGTTTTATAATTTGGAAAATAATCCAGGCTATGTGGACTGTGGGACAGCAGTAAAAATTACAGAGAGTAACAATGCGATATACAAATTACCGTGTACTATACATGTATCTCCCCCTGTTGTTGTTCTAACCGACCGCTCTACAACCGTGGAATTGGTAGCTGAAAATGTATCCAATGATGGGCCCACTGGTTACTGCTTACGGGTGTTATCAAATGGTATGTAACTACAAGACGGAATTTATGTACAACAATAGTTGGGTGTATCTTCGTGCCATAGAAACATAGAAGTATATTAGATGACTAAATAATTCCTTCTTTTTTCGTAAATATTACTCCAGAAATCGCCTTCTTCATTTATTTAAAAGTAAATTTATCCTTTTTATTTAAATCTTGATTTCGCTGGAAAGAAATTCATATTAATGAAATCATAACACAAATAAAAAATACAATGATTGTGAAACACTTATGCCCCCGTTTGGCAGATTATGGCGAGCTCTGAACTTTCTTAAATTCAAGTTTAACCCAAAGACAAGATCAAAATTGTTTGTATCAAGGAAGTTTTTGTCATTAGATTGATTAATTGATTGTATATTGTTAACGCCTTTCTCGAGAATTTTTCACTCATATGGAGACGTCACCGTATGCCGGTGTAACGTTGAATATTGACCCAAGTTGAAAATTGACCCGGGGTTCATTTTTCAACACTGAATATTGAACCACGGGTGTTTATTCTCCGTTGAAAATTGAGACCAAAAGTCGTTGAATTTATACCCAGGGTCATTTTTCAACAGCTTGATATTTTTTTCTTTTCCCCGATGACCTCAACAAGTTGAAAAATTACCCTGTTGAATATTGACCCCACCTCAGAGTTTGAACAATTTTTGAACTGGGAAGTTGTTTAACGGGATTTATCGGTATTTTTGCATTCATATTTCGGTTTAAAAATTTTTCCCTTTTCAAGAATAACAGAAATAAACCTATCATCCTGTGTATATATGAACATTTTGATCAGTGCAGGATTTCACTTATCTTCAAGCATGACAACGTTATTTTTTGACAACACTTTCTAAAATCCCCATCCATGAATACCTACAAAACTATGAATAGGACATAAAACAAAAATCCTGGAAATCTGGTGTGTAGAAAGTGAGCCCTGTAGAATATTATATTGATCAAGTGGGCAGAACGTCCCATCTAGTCAAATTCAGTATAAGAATTAACAAAATTAAATGCCTACAAATAAGAATGAAACACATCGGTCAAAATGAAGCCAATGATACGTTATATTTGTGAAAAGATTTATATAGCGACCATAACATATAAGTAATGCTGACTTTAAGCAAGATTGGTGAAATCCCTGTAACAAATCTATCTGTTAGTACCCTACCCCGGCCTAAAAATCGATCGTTTTTGGAGCATAACCTTGAGATTGAGAACTAGAATTAGAGTTTGGGATGTTCTAGAAGCTACACTTCCAACCATCTTTGATATCAATAATATAAAAAAAAAACGCCGTCCCTGCAACATCTTTTAGTCTAAACAACTAAAATGCGCATTCCTCTTCAGAGAGAGAGAGAGAGAGAGAGAGAGAGAGAGAGAGAGAGGATCAAACGTTTTTCTCGGAGGCGGAGGTACGGTGACAAAACCCTCTGAAAATTATGACAAAAACCATAATTAAAATAAATTAACAAAACGAAACAAACAAACAAGCAAACAAAAAGTTGAAAGGGAAACTAGCCAATGTTGAAAACCAAACCATGTTTTTCTAATTGGATGGAAGGGCCGCTTCAAAAATTACTAATAAACTATCCTGTGTTTCCCCGATGGGGGGGGGGGGTAGGTTAATGTTATATTTTAGCTTCTTTATTACAGAAATTTAATAACGCTGAAAGGCAGGGTTGTGTATCTAAAGCAAACATTCTTCGATGAAGAAAAACTACAAAAATGAAGAAAACAGCCCAGTCACAAATACAAAAAAAGAACACATTCTTCAAATACATGTATATGTTACTAATCCCAAAAAGGGGAGATCACCCCCTTGTACATCCTCTACTTAACAATATAAATATGTCTTGGACTGTTTGATTAACTATGCGAGAAAGATCACTTAACCTTTTATTTTGAAAGAAATCCGTTTTTCAAGTCGTACATCATAAGCTATTAATGTTGTGCATAACTAAATAAACATTAAAACGTAGTGCGTCATGCGTTAAACTCTCACCATGTCCTAAATACTAATACATTTATTACAAATTTTAAAATTAAAATAAATGAAGTCTTGATAGCAAAATAAATAAATAAATAAATAAATAAATAAATGAACAGATTTCGTGACTAAATTGTATATTGTGTAACTATGTCATTCATTATTTACATATACAAATGTACTTCTTTTTAAATAAATACGAGGGATGATCAAAAAGTTCGCGAACTAATTGAATAACTTCCAAAAAAGAAATGATATAGGGTTTTAGTGTTGAAAATATTTCAAGGTGGTCCTCTCCAATTTTAATGCGCATCTGCAACCATTCTGCCCATGCGCGTATCACGTGATATAGGCGGTCACGTGACATGCTCCTTGGCGTTCTGTCACAGAGGCTTTAAAAATTTTCCGAGTCTTATATTTCTTACCACGCAAGTTTTTTTTTTTACAACAAAATCAGTCCATTCGTCAAAAATGGTCTTATCTCGGCAATCGTATTGGTGGATACTGATATCCATTTGCAGAATGAGCATGGTGACCATCAAAACCCAAGTCCTCTGTCTTTTGAGCGTCGTTTATTTCATGTGGATAAAGTATGGATGCCTTCAATTTATCATATCTGATATGTTTAAAATCTAAAGTAAACGATATTTCAGGGATTTATTAATTATATTATTGTAAATTTAAGATATTTATCTATTTTTCTAACTGTAAGTTGGCGATCTTTCATATCAAATTGCTTACCAAATAAAACGTCTCTTTCCAAGTTTGCTTTCACTGGGTAACAGAACAAAATCATTTTTAGACATCTCCCTTCCTTCACTAGAACAATCAATTCAATCAATGACAAAACTTCTGGCAAGTCTTTTGTCTTCATAAACCGTGTACAAATTATCATAAACTTGTGCAAAGGAATTTCCAAGATATACGTTTAACTTTACAGCCGTTCGTTTCTCGAATACGACTGAATCAACCATTTTTTGTCACAAGTGATCTACCTTATGACGTCATTTTCACATTGTGACGTCACAAACACGGGGCAAAACGTTCCATTACATATGTTATTTATAGAACATTTGTATGATTCTATGTGTGCTAAATTTCAATCTGTTCTGAATTCTGGTTTTGTAAATATAGAGATAGTTCGCGAACTTTTTGATCACTCCTCGTATTACACGGAATATTGCAATTTTCAGCTACATGTAACTTTGAAATCTAAAATATTTTTTTTTTATGTTTTATTCTAAGAATAAAACTGAATTACTGAATTAAGTATGCATTGATTACATTGGTGTTGGAAGCAAACTGAAAGTGTGTGTGTGTGGGGGGGGGGGGGGGGGGTAATTGAAAAAGAAAAACATGATCAAATCTGAGAAAGAAAATTTGTCCATTGTCCAAACTTGAAGTCCAAACCCGAAAATCCTATCGGGGGTGGGGGTAGGGGTGGTGTGAGGATCCTACACTGAACGTGCCTGTTGAAAAAAGGGGGAGGGGGCTAAACCAATTTCACATTGTTCAATGCTTATATTATGTCTATCTTTGCAAAAAAAGGGGGTAAGCATCCCTGCCCCCCCCCCTCCCGACGCCTATGGATTGAATCACAGTTGTGAAAACCAAGTCATAAATATGTGTTTTTATGCTGTTGAATTTTGAACCGGTTTCATGATCAAAATTCCACGCACCGGCTCAGTTTTCAACGGACGAGGGTCTAAATTCAACACCTTTATTCTCACTATTCAACGTTGAAAAATGACCCCCGGGTCAATTTCAACCAGGGACAAATATCAACGTTATATCGGTGAAGGGCTTCAAATTTTGACCTTTACTTGGCACTCAGGGCCATTGAGCAGTGAGGGATCTTTATCATGCCAACGCCTGCCGCTGGCACGGGGCCTCGGTTTTTAAAGTCTCATCCGAAGGACCCGCAACTTTTACTTCAAAGTGCTGAGCGTATGGCGAAGGAACAGTTGCTACCAATTTTATCGACTGGGTCAGTCGCGGCCGAGATACGAACTCACGACCTACCGATCACGGAGCGAGCGCTCTACCGACTGAACTACCGTGAACGGTTTTGTCATTAGAATAAATCCGTGAAATGTGAAAGCCTAGTTCTAAGTGTTCAAACGATTCTACAAGATTGTTTTTAAAATGTGGGACGATTTTTAAGGTCGTAATCAAGATCAAAACGTCTATAATAAAATGAATTTTTATAGAAAGGTCTGTCACAATAGATACACAGGCGCAGTATGAAAGTCCTAGAACCAACTGTTAAAAAGAATATAGAAAAGGTTAAAGTTTGGTTATTTTGCGTAAAATCATGCCAAACTCAAGGGTCAAAACGTCAAATTTCGTAGTACTTAAAGAGATGCATGTCACGGGGTACTTACCTGTGGATGTATAAAAGTCATAGCCCCACCCACTGAAAAGTAATGGGGAACGTTAAAGTTTGAGGACGAACAGATAAACAAAAAGACAAATGGACGATACAAACACTATATACCCCCGCATTTTCTATCATGGAGGCGTAAAAGTATTTTTCGTATGATTCTAAAATTACCCTTTTTAGAAAGTTTGCATTGTAAATGAATGACATACACAATTATATTTTGTTTGAAAAATATGTGGAATTTTCTTTATTTATTGTCTGACCTTAAGAATTCAATCAGCATGTTTCTGAAATTTATTCAGACCAGTAAAGCACTAATTTTTTGCATTGGGAAAGAGGAACATGTGTTCAGATCGCTTACAGTTTTAAACGGTATTATTTTATGAATAGCTATTCATATTAATCAACTTTAGAATTAAAAAAAATTATTACTAATGATTTTTTACTTTCATTTCTTGATGCGTAATCCCGATTTTCTTTCTTTTTTACCAACGCTAAATCAATAAAATTGACTCGATATATCTACCAAAATTAAATTAACTATACATTTCAATTATTTGTTTATACAATATAAGTGGAAATTTTAAGAGACGCGATTTTCCTTAAAACTGGGTATCTTATTTTTACCAATTTTTAAAATGCTCACTTATAAAGCTATTACAACTAAAACACAATTAATTGTTTGTAAATGCATTGCATTATATTTATTAACCTCTTCTTTTTCATTACTTTAATATTAATGGTCAAGGTAACAATTTAATCAACAAATTTTGGTTTTAAATATTAGTTAAACAAATACAGAAAGTTGTAAACTGAGAAGATGTATCGATGATTTGACTAGTTTCTGTTATTGACGGTGTTTGGACTTGATTATTTCTTTTCCAAAAAAAAACTTATCAAAATTGAAATGTACACAGACCATCAATTGACAGAGAAAAAATAAAGTGCATTTAAATGAAATGATATAAAGACATTTAAACGTTTTCAATCGATGATTTTGGTAAAAAAGTAGCTTATGCTCGGAAGATTCACACATTACATTTTTGTATAGACATTTCTTCTAGTAAATGATTAATTAAAGATTTTAAACTTTAGTCTATAAATTGCTGCATTTTGATAATTTGTTTCTCTGTATAATTAATTATTAGATGTTTCAAAAAATGTCACTGCATCTTGTGGACGTTCGGAATCAACAACATTCCTACAAAATACGAAACAAGGTTTGTACACTTACTTTTACTAAAATTCCAACCTCAGTTTTAAATTATTAGTATGAATACACAGTTTCACCTCGGCATAGTGAAAAGGTAAGAGTTCAAGATTAAATTATGAACTTAAGGCTTTATACAAATAATTCTACATTTAGAGTCACCGTGCGCGTGTAGGCTTTAGAGAAATTGTCACTGAAAAAACAAATCCACTTTTTAAAAAAAAAAAATTTCTATTCCGGTTTCCTCTTAGTTTTAGCACCTTAAAACTACATTCCATAAAGATACACAGCACTACATGTATGGCCTAGTGTGAGGTATATTTAAGCTGAGTATAATCAAGCTTTGATCATTTTATATACAGATTTACTGGAAATTATTATTTATCCAGAGGCACGTAGATGACTACATATATTTACAGCGCTTTTATCATTGAAGATAAGTAGAGACCCATCTGTTAAAAAATTATGTTTGTTTAATTTTCCCCCGACGGAATATGGTTTAAATATTCCAACCTAGCAGTTAACTAATAATAATCAATCAATCAATCAAAAACCTTTTCCTCCGATCCTCGTAAGTTTAAAATCTCATAAATGACGTTAAAGGAAGAATTAATTTTAGCCAGCCTAAGACTACAGCAAGTGGTTTATATGCATAAGATTATGAATGAAATTTGCTTCAATTAAGTCAAACTGAAATAAAAGACATAAAGGAATCAGCAGTATATGTTTCATATTTTCTATATTTTATTGAATACTGGACGATAACGGCTAACTTACAATTAAATTATGTTATAGACGAAATGACTTCAACCTTTTTCATCGTCGACAATCCTTATTTATATAGTTATTATCTGCTCTCACCTGTACATAGTTTTTTTTTTTAATTTTTGTCTCCTGAACAATTACCTACTCAAGGTGGAGCATGCTCTAAGCATAATCATTCTCAAACTGATAGCTAAATTACTCACAAATAAATTCATGTTACAAGAATTACAAACACGTATTATGAGTCTACATACATTCTAAGGTCATCAGCAAATATACTTTTCATGTATAAATGAATTGCATAGTCGGTGACCTGTTTTGTAACAATTGTTAGTCATTTGTTTTCGTACTAATTTGGATTAGCGAATGTTATTGATCAATGCATAGGGCTAATGACAAGTGTGACTTTTCAGCAAAGCTTGCTCTCTACCATTACACTGTATACACCTTACCAACGTCTTGAATTGTCAGGGGTTCATATTCATGCCCTACTCAGGGATTTGTATTGTTTATACTTTTTTAAAAACATATCGCTGGCCCATCGTCTTTATCTTCTCTCTTATTTAGCATGTAAAGCTTTCATATCATATATATAAATTAAATTGAACTAAAGCTATTTTGATAAATTTATATATGTAGGTCTACTCCAATCAACAGGTAGTCGGGGAAGCGAACATACGACGAAGTCTGGTATTCAGAAAACAGATGTACTATCTAATGAAGACTTTAGAGATACGTCAGCTGACCATACAACAGGTTTTGATGATTTCCCTCTTTTTATTATTATATGATCAAGCATAAGTCGTTAACAAGTAGAAACATTTCATGCATCTTTTTACCCAAAATTTACCCGACATTTTCAATCTTGCTACAGTTGGTATTTATTAGTATTTTTAAAATATAAAATATTTTGTTTAAATATAATGAACATAAGTTTAACTTCAACACCAGTCTTACATGTAACTGAAATGACCTACAACAGAAAGAAAATTAATTCATAACAGATCTAGAATCTTTAACGCAACAATATATTTTTAATTTAGAAATGTTATGTTTTAGGCTCCACCGGTAATGGATTGCTCATTGGATTAATAATAAGTGTAATACTGGTCTCTATATCAATAGGGATAAGTATATCTCTTGCACTTTACATTCTGAGATCTCGAAAACGGTAAATACAGTTTCATTGTACAT